CACTGAACGACCACACTCACGATGATGACGACGTGCCGTCTGCTGTGCGCCCTGTTGGTGCTCGCCCTGTGCTGCTGCCCGTGCGTGTGCGCGGTGGATACTGAAACGGTTGAAGAGTCTACCGAGAGGACCACAACGATGACTGCAACACAGCCACAGGATTCTAAGGCTAACGGTAAGCCTACAGTTAATGTGAAGGGAACCGGCACCAATCCATCGTCTTCCTCAACAGAGGGAATAGAGGGGAAGGATCAGCCAAGACCGCACGCACCACCAGTGACTAAGCCGGCTGGAAAGCCAGGAGAAGATGCCGGAGCGGGACAGAGTTTGACCGGTACGACAGGGTTACAAAGTGACACTAATAAATCTGCAGACCTCACAGATAAGGAAGACGAAGAACCCGCAAAGGCGACCACGACGAACAAACCTCCTGCCCAGACAACCACCACGACCACCACTACGACAAACGCACCAACCACGACCACCACTGCGCCAGAGCCACCAAGCACTACGACTACAGAGGCGCCAACCACGACGACCACCCGCGCACCGTCGCGTCTTCGCGAAGTCGACGGCAGCCTCAGCAGCTCTGCGTGGGTGTGTGCCCCGCTGGTGCTTGCCGTATCCGCGCTGGCGTACACCGCTGTGGGCTGAAGATGTGTTTGCGGTCTGTGTGTGCCAGCACTCAGCCACGGGGAAATGTGTACGTCCACTGTGGTCCGATGTATAAAGTAAGAGTCATTATGATGATCGTTTTTTTTGCTTTACTTGCCTCCGCTGCCCTGCTGTGTGCTCCGCGTTTTGCCCCACGTCCGTCACGTCGAACGCATCGCGGATACACTCATATGCATGCGCACTGGAGCCCTGTTTTTTATTATTACTCTTTGTTTTTTCTTGCCTTTTAAACTTCTTTTTGCAGTGTTTTGTGCGAGTTCTGCAATCGTACTGATTCAATCTGTTTCATGGTGTGCGCTGCTGCTGCTGTATGTTGCCATTTGTTACTGTGCGGTGGCTGTTACTTTGGCTGTGTGACTCGTCTTTTCTTTTACTTCTTCTGCGTTGACGGGGAGTTAGTTTGTGCTGAAGGCTACACGCAAGTGACGGGAGTGATGGCGATGATGACTGGCCGTGTGCTGCTGGTGTGTGCCCTCTGCGTGCTGTGGTGCGGTTCCGGCGGTAGGTGTGAAGAGGAGGTGGTACCTGTTGCCGATTTACCTGCTAATTCTGAGAGTGGTTCTGGAGGTCCCGAAAAAGACACCGATCATACGGTGCCTGGTGGAGCGGAAAACCTTTCTGCACAGCAATCACAGCTGAATAAGGTTAGGGGTTCGCCACCCGGGATATCGTCATTGGAAGCTCCCTCAGAGGTTGAATCAAAAAAAAAGCACACGCAATCCGACCCCGAACATACGGATTTACTTTCACCTTCAAAATCATCGGGAGAACAGCGGCAAGATGGAACACCCGATGGTACACCAGGGAGACTGGCGACTTCTCACAGTCAAGAGGACAGGAAACATCCATCCATTGAGGGTCCAGAGAGAAATGGTCCGCCATCTTCTTCAAGTAACAACAATACCGTCGGCCGCAAGAGTGAGGAGCGCACAGAAGATACTCCGAGCAGTACTGAAATTATTGTTGCCGCACCGTCTGAAGAGGGACAGGAGCGTGAAAATGTCGCTGCTTCCTTGGAACAACCCGAGGGAAATTCCACGGCCGCACCGGCCATTACCACTCAAACAATTTCCACGACACCGACTGACGACGGTACTGTGGACACCGTCAGAATGAGTGATGCAGCAGAACAATCAACAGGAACCGCTCAAACAAATCATACGATGACACCTGGCGACAGTGACAGCAGCACCGCGGTCTCCCACACCACTTCCCCTCTTTTGCTTCTTCTTGTTGTTGCGTGTGCGGCTGCTGCTGCGGTGTTGGCCGCGTGAGAGTGAGGGAGAGAGAGCCGTGCACCGCCCGCACACACACTCGTCTTTCACTCACTCTCTGTGTGTGTCCCCTTGCATGGACTCTCGCCCTCACCTCATCCCACGAAGCACACACATAATGTGCCCATTGTATATATTGCATGCACACCCATGCAGGCCCGTTGGTGCTCTCTTTTGCACGACACGCACCGCTGCCGTCCTGCCTGGCTGCATGGGCGGAGCACCGTAACTGTTTCTGTTTTGTTTTTATTGCATTGAGTGGGCGACCTCTCTCTCTCTCTCTCCCTGTGTGTGTGTTTTGCTTTACGGGAGCAATGAGAGTGTGTGCGCTGGTCGTCCCACGCTTCGGCTTTTTGTTTTGTTTTTCATTGTTTTGTGGTTGAGAGCACCCATTCCGCGGGCTGCGTGTGTGTGTTTGTGTGTGATGATATGAGTAATTTGCGTGTGTGCTATCGGCTTCTCTCTGCCGTTGCTTTCTTCTGACTCTCTTGTGCCGTACAGCTGCTCTGCAAGTATAGGCGCTGCCAAACACACAAGCACATGCACACATATGCCGTGCTTAAAACGCTGAGAATGCACGTACGCACAGGATTGTGGCTGCGGAGGCCCTCGCGAGGGGCGAAGAAGCCTGCGTTTTGTTGTTTTGTGTGTTGGTGTTTCTCGGTGTGTGCACACGCGTGACGAATAACGACACACCCGCCGTGACTGCTGCTGCTTGTAGTGGCAACAGTCGCTGTGTGTTCCCGGTGTACTGTTCTTCCTTCTCGTTCCGTGTGTCTGTGTGCGTGAGTTGTTGTTGTGGGGAGTGACTGCGGCGGGGATGATGGTGCCACTCACTGTGGATGGGTGGCGGTGCTTATTTTTTCACCCCTTTTTATTATCCTGTTTTTCTTCATTTCTTTTACTCTCTTACGAAGAAAGAACACAAACGCGAAACGCTACTGTGAAATTCGAAGGCCTAAAAGGATCAACAGCACACACACCGCCCACACACACATATTTATATGCTCTCACGTGTTGCTGCTGTGAAGGCACCCCGCACACACAACCGTCGCCGCGTGACCGGATCCAGCGGAGGGAGGAGGGAAGGAAGAGAGAGTGAGCCGCAGAGGCCCAACATGTCCCGGCGTGTGTTTACTTCCGCGGTGCTGCTCCTCCTCGTCGTGATGATGTGCTGCGGCAGTGGTGGGGCTGCATCCGCTGATGAGAAGCAGTCAGAGGCAGATCCAAATTTTGAATGGAATGACATCCCTAAGGATGTAACTGTGGAGTCGTTGGGTGTTCCTGGTCTTGTAAAAGTGGGGAGTGACGTGTTTGCCGTTGCCGAGGCACAGTGCAAAAAGGATGAAAAAGAGGATTTTTTTACTGGCATTGCATCCCAACTTCTCACGATGGGAAAGGATAACGGACCGGAGGAAGTGCTGAAGGATGTCAAGGATACACAATTTCTGGAGGAAGGCACTTCCACAGAGGAGGAGAACAGAGTAGATGTGAGCCGACCAACAGCCGTTGTGAAGGGAAGTGATATTTACATGCTTGTTGGAAAACACAGCCATGAAAATCTCGCTGAATGTAAGGCTGCGTCTGACGCAGTCAAATCCGGACTATTGCTGGTGAAGGGCCAGGTCGTTGGTGGAACCGGCAACAACCGAATCCATTGGAAGGAGACTGACGGTCTACCGTGCACTTTAGGCGACCAACACAACTCCTTGAAGCAGCTGATTGGCAGCGGTGGATCGGGTGTCAAGATGAACGACGGTACGCTTGTGTTCCCAGTGGAAGGCACGAAGAATGATGGAAAGACTGTTTCGCTGATCCTATACTCGAAGGATGCTGTGGGTGGGAAGCTGTCGAAGGGGATGTCTGACGGTGGCTGCAGGGTTCCCTCCGTCGTGGAGTGGAAGGACAAAAAACTCATGATGATGACTGCGTGTGATGATGGCCGCCGCAGGGTGTACGAGTCCGTTGACAAGGGGGATTTGTGGACGGAGGCACTCGGGACACTCTCTCGCGTGTGGGGCAGCAAAAAGGTCGGAAGTGAGAAGGCCGTTAGGAGCGGGTTCATCACAGCGACGATTGAGGACACGGATGTGATGCTCGTCACTCTGCCGGTGTATGCCAAGGCTGAGAGCGAAGAAAATGGAAAGGAAAAGGGTGAACTCCATCTTTGGCTGACGGACAATACGCACATTGCTGATATTGGGCCGGTATCCGTGGAAGGAGACGATGAGGTTGCCGCCAGCTCCCTGTTGTACAGAAGTGGAGATAATAATGAGTTGATTGCACTGTACGAAAAGAAGGGCGATGCGGAGAAGCCACCACTCGGTATGGTCTCTGTGCGTCTGACTGCGCAGCTGGAGCGGGTGAAGGATGTGCTGACGACATGGAAGAAAGTGGACGAACGTGTCTCCCAGGTGTGCCCCACTTCACTTGCTCTGAAGGATCCCTCAGCTGACACTGACTGCAGCGCTGTTAAGATCACGGCTGGGCTGGTTGGCTTTTTGTCTGGCAACTTCTCTGATAACAAATGGAGGGACGAGTACCTTGGGGTGGACGCCACAGTAAAGGGTGGTGCAGCAGAGGCAACAAAGACTTCCGATGGTGTGACCTTCCAGGGAGCGTGGGCGGAGTGGCCCGTTGGCGCGCAGGGGGAGAATCAGCTGTACCACTTTGCGAACTACAAATTCACTCTTGTGGCGACGGTGTCCATCGACGGTGTGCCGGAGGGAGATACTCCCATTCCTTTGATGGGTGTGAAGAGGATGAATGGTGTTAAGAGTACTGTACTTCTGGGGCTGTCGTACAACAACAGAGAAAAGAAGTTGGAACTTTTGTCCAGTGGCGGGAAGGCGTCGGAGCTCAGCAGCAATTGGAAACCAGGGAAAACACACCAAGTGGCCATTGTGCTGCAGAACGGCATCCAGGGCTTTGTGTACGTCGATGGTAGGCTTGTGGAAGGTGCGCCATTTGATATGAAGGATAAAGGTTCGAAAGGGATCTCCCACTTCTACATTGGAGGGGATGGAGGCAGCGCGTGGAGCCGACAAGACGTGCCCGTGACGGTGACGAACGTCCTGCTGTACAACCGACCGTTGAGTGACAATGAGCTTACTGCGCTTAACACAATCAAACTTTCCATTCCACAAACAGCGGAAGCAGGAGAAACGGATGAAGGTACCGCTCTTGATGGTGGAGCACACGGTGATGCCAGCAATTATTGCGGAAGCGGACTGCTGCCATCGCTGCTTCTTCTGTTGGGACTGTGGGTGTTTGCGGCTCCGTGAGGAGTGACTGGCTGCCGCGTGGGACACCTGCGGCATCCCCAGCAGCGACACACACACACCTGGTAATGAACTTCTCTTGTTAAATAACTTTTATTAACTTTTCTCCTTGTTTGCTTTGCTGTGCGATTTTAATTTATTTGTCTTTTTTTCTTTTTTCTTTGTTGTGCGATTGGGCGTCTTTTCTTTTTAAAAATTCTTTTTTGTTTTTATTTCTAATCCCTCATACCCCCAACACTTTTTATGCTTTTGGGGCAATCACTATGGACGTTTTTCCTTTTCTACTCTTCCCTCTTTTAATTGTTTCTTCTGCACTCTTCCTGTGAGGGGTGCCATGTGTTTCCGCCCAACTGCTTCACTCGCACACCCACCGACACGCTCATGACGACGGCCCTGTGCGCCTCGCCCGCTGCACGCATGAGGAGGGGCCGCGACGAACGGCGCGCTGAGGGAGCCGTGACATGTGGGCGTGCGACGAGGGCCGGTGGGGCGGAGCACACATTTCTTTCCCTCTTGTTTTGTTTTATTGCGGCCAGGGCGGGCAGACACCCGCAGCGCCACACACACACAGCCACACCCTGCCGCCGTGTTTTTAAGATTTTTTGCTTTGCGTGTGCATTTCACGCGCCGGCACTCTCTTGAGCATTTCTTTTCCCCTCCTGATGTTTTCTTTTTCTTTTGCTGCGCTCACTCTCCCGATGGAGTGACGCGGCTGCCGTCATGTCTGCGTGCTTCTCTCAGTCTCCACACACACGAGTGACTGAGCTCTGCAGGCCGCACTCACACGCCGATGAGAGGGCTGAGGGGAGCAGCAACACGCAGATGACCCCGTGAAATATAAACGATGTGCGGACACACGGAGGTTCAGACGGTTGAAGGACATTTAAATATCTTTTTAATTTTCTTTTGCGGGCAAAATATATACAGACAGCTTGGTGTGGCCACACGGCAGCCGGCTGCTTTTTTAAATTTGTGTGGAACATTAATGGACGATTTCTTTTTCATTTATAATTATTTTGTGCGATGGGGTTTATATAAGACGAAGGGGAAAGTTTTTTTGTTTTAAATAAATTTTGTGTGGATTGCCGCTGCTTGGGCTGCAGTGCAGTCATGAGTTTGAGCGGTCTTCTTCTTGTTGTTTCCGTTATGCGTCTCTGCTGTACATTGTTGTGCGTCCCTCCACATACTCTGCTCCCTCTTTTCTACTTCATTGCTTTGTGTTTCTGCAGGCACACAACAACCACACACACACAAGATGCACATTGCAGTGGATTTGAATGCTCCTTTTGTAGTGCATGCTGGCAGTTGCGTGTGGCGGCTGTTCTCTTCCGTGGCCATGAGGAGAAGGGAGGTGGAGGGAGTGAAGTGCGCAGCCCGAGTCTCTTTTCCTGCGGGTGTGGTGCACCGCGTGTGACTGCGTTGAGTTGGGCTCCGTGTCCCATTGAGGGCGGGATGGCTGGAAATTTTTTGCCGCGTCATGGATGGATGAGGGTGCACTGGCGCGTGTGGCTGTTGTGGTGGGTGCTTGCTCCGTGTTTGTTGAGTGGGGTGGCTGGGAGTCCTGGACATGTATCTGGTGATGCGGATACGGTGGTTGTGCCGGTGGATGTGTCGTGTGCTCCGAGTGACGGCAGCCTGAGGTATCGCGTGCCTGTGTTTGTGTGTGGGAGTGGAAGAAGTGTTCTGCTGCCGGTGCTGAGGCTCAGTATGAGAACTGTACTTTCAGTGGCTTTGATGTGCGCATGCATGGCAGGAATGGTGAGCTGGGTGCTGTGTGCCATGTGGCCAATGCGGTGCACACATGTAGCAACTGTGCTGCCAGCTGTGCAACGAAGGAGGAAGGGGCCACCGTTGCCTTCACGATGAATGTGACGACACATAAATACGCCGGCCCTTATGAATTGTGGTGGCGTCAATTTTCTCCCGATGGAACCATCCATCCGCCTGCACGGAGCGGCGATGCTGACCAGACGGGCATCTGTCAGTTGCCGTCGCCCCGTGAAGGGAAGGATGACACAAAATCTGGTGAGACAACTGCGCCACAAGTTAATGCTGAGCCGTCACGTCAACACGAGGATTGGCGACAGTCTGCCGCGGCTGACGGACCCAACACCGTCGATCGGAGTCCCGCATCCAACAAGTGTAGGAAAAAGTTTCGCATTGCAACCGATCCGAAAGAAAACGTGGCTCCAACACCACCCAAGAGGAGGCCTAGCATTGCCACGAGTCGGAACATAGAAATGGATCCGAATGCATTTGAGACGATGACTGCGCCCGCCACCGCGTTGAGGATTTCAGTGGGCTCGAAGGATGCCCGTAAGAGTGAGGCCGTTGACGGCAGCGGCGAGCACTTTTCTGGGGAAATTGCGGGAGGAATGAATGGTCACAACGTCTCCGGAAAAAACAAAGCGGTATCAAGAAATGTGACCTTGCACGATCTGGAGCGGCGTGAGTGCCGAGGACCGCCTCGCCCTGTTTGGCGACGTGAAGTTGATACTATGCGATTCAACTGGCGACCGCACTGCGCGTGTGTGCGTGTCTCTGGCGTTGCTGCTGCTGCTGCTGGAGCTATGTGGAGTTGTGGTAGTCTTTCGAGCTAAAGAGGGTGGAATTGTGACTCTCCACGGGGGATATTTACCGCATACTTTGCGGCTTTTATGTCACTGTTTTTTCTCTTCTTTTTTAATGATTTACTGATTGCCTTTTAAACTTTTTTTCTTTTTTATTGCTGTTTTTCCCTTTTTTCTTTTTTGTAATGTTCTTTTTGAATCTTTTTCCTCTGGAGTAATAAGTACCCTTTTTTCCCCCTCATTATTTAATGTTCGGTTGATGTACACTGGAATGGGCGAAGTGTTTCCCTCTCTTTTGTGTGTTTCTTTTTTGTTGTTGCTGACACGCGGTGCCGGCTCCGCTGCCTTGCATCCCACGGACTGCAGGAACGGGGATTGGGAGAAGAGGCCGGATGCCGCGTGAAATGTGAGGGATATTGTGTGGGCTCGTGAAGCAGTACAATCACTTATTTTTATTTTAATTTCTTTTTATTGGTGCAGGCAATATGAATGTACAGAAACACAAGGTCGTCTATATTCTGCTCCATGGCACATGAAATAAAAATTCTGCCGAATGAATTTTCTTCATTGTTTCTGGGAGTCCTGTCGCACACTTAAATTGTGTTTTGTGTTTTTCCTGCTTTTTTTAGTTTTTTGTTTGCAGGTCGGTGTGCGTGCTGCTTGTGGTGTTTTTTACTGTGCCACTCTTTTTGCTCTCTGTTGACGGGGAGTTATTTTGTGCTGAAGGCTACACGCAAGTGACAGGAGTGATGATGGCGATGATGATGACTGGCCGTGTGCTGCTGCTGGTGTGTGCCCTCTGCGTGCTGTGGTGCGGTGCCGGCGGTTGCGCTGAGAATGATGCGGAGGTGGTGGAGATTCCTGCCGGTGGTAAAGGTGCGGTGGGGTCGACTGGAACTTCAGTGCCAGGTCCAGGCGTCTCAGTTTTAAGAATAGATGTGCCCAATGTTAATCAATCAAAAGAAACATCTGCAGTAAAATCTTTTGAAGGAAACGAAGTTAAAACTGATCAACAGGATGTTGTTAATGGAGTGGAGGATGAAAAAAATAATAACTCTTCAGAGCATTTAGAAGAAACTATGGAAGATGGTCCAGGAAAAGAAAGAACAGAGCCGCCATTACAAAACGTAGGACAAGAAGAAATACAGCCGCCACAATTGCAAGTGAATTTGCCACAGAAAGCGCAGCCACAACCGCAACAGTCACAACCGCTACCGCCATCAGCGCCTCAGCCACACATTTCCGCTTCAGAAGAGGGTAAAGGCGTTGGCGAGAACAATACGGGTGGAGAAGGTCAGCCCTCATTGGGAGTACAAGATATTGGAAACGCGGCTCCAAAGAACCCCAGAAAAGAAGACTTATTAGAGGGTCCAGGTAAGGAATCAGAAAGCAGTGAACAGGTTCAAACGACAGTGCCAAACACAGTAACGCCGGAGCACAAAACCCAAAATGAGATGTTAACTCCGGAACAAAAGACCAATGAAGGCCAAAGCACGGATACATCCACGAACATACCCGAACTACAAAAGGAAAATAAGAAATACCCTGCCTTTGCAGAAGTTACGGCGCAGAGTACATCAACTGGCAGTCAAGAAAAAGAAGCTGAGCCATCTACAAGCGAAGAACCTTCTCCTCTTGAGGAGGAACAATCCACAGGGACGAAGACAAACGAGGATGCTCGAACTCCGGATGCTGCAGCGACAGAAAAACGCCAAAATGGCGATAATGAAAAGGTTGGCGACAGTGACGGCAGCACCGCGGTCTCCCACACCACCTCCCCTCTTTTGCTTCTTCTTGTTGTATGTGCGGCTGCTGCTGCGGTGGTGGCCGCGTGAGGGTGAGTGAGAGAGAGCCGTGCACCGCCCGCACACACACTCGTCCTTCTCTCTCTCTCTCTCTGTGTGTGTCCCCTTGCATGGACTCTCGCCCTCACCTCATCCCACGAAGCACACACATAATGTGCCCATTGTATATATTGCATGCACACCCATGCAGGCCCGTTGGTGCTCTCTTTTGCACGACACGCACCGCTGCCGTCCTGCCTGGCTGCATGGGCGGAGCACCGTAACTGTTTCTGTTTTGTTTTTATTGCATTGAGTGGGCGACCTCTCTCTCTCTCTCTCCCTGTGTGTGTGTTTTGCTTTACGGGAGCAATGAGAGTGTGTGCGCTGGTCGTCCCACGCTTCGGCTTTTTTGTTTTGTTTTTCATTTTTTTGCGGTTGAGAGCACGCATTACAATTGTTTTTAGATTATTGGGTTGCTTTGACTGCGGACGTATGATTTTTTATTTTATTTTATTTTTGTATTCTTTTGAGGTATTGTGAGTGTTTCTTATCCTTGTCAAGCCATGAAGTGTCTTCTTTTACGTACAGCATGCGTCAGTTGTTCCGCATCACTTCACGGTCTGCATTGCTGCTGGTGCTTCTGGTTGTGATGATGTTTGTGATGTGTTGTGCCGGCGGGTGCTTTGCTGCCAGCCTGATGTGCTCCTGCTCCATTGAAAAAGCGGTGCGTGCCGAAAGGGAAAAGTCGATCCCGGCTGTGGTGAGGGACGTGCCTTTTGGATATGAAGGTGCGTCGCAGACATGCACCGTCATTGGGAGGAATGGATGGGCGCCCATCCGCATCCATATGTCGACAAGGGACCTGGATGATACCAGGAAGTATTGCAGCTCAGAGCAGTATTACGCAATGAATTTATTGGTGGCAATTGCGAGTGTGAAGGTGACGTTTTTCTATGCTGAGAAAAGAGAAGTATTTGTTTCATTATACTTTGCAGCCACTGTTCGTTAATGGCCTGCGGGCTCTCCGTAGCGATGTGGCCAGTTTTTCCTTCCTGAACGATGCTGTAGTGCGAGAGGTGGTGTTCCCAAATAGTCGGATGCTCAGTTGTCGAGGACGGGTGCATTCCCACATCATGTGCGGCAGGGCCTCCCGTGGACCGTCAGGCGGCTCAGCGGCTGGTGGTGGTTGCCGTAGCGGAGTGGCTGAAGGGCTATGGCTGTCATTGGAGCTTGCGGAGGTGCGCTGTCCGTTTTTAGCTCGTTGATACGCTTGACATTTTTGGTAGTGACCTGCGCGTGAGGCACTTCTTGGGAATACGGTGGAGCTGTCGCAGAATCCACATGCGATGCCTTCTCCAGCGATTGGAGTGCCAGGGTGGACACGTCGGGCGTGTGCCTTCATACGATGGACGAGAAGATTCTGCTGCAGCTTGGGCAGGGCGACGTTGATCTGCTGCTCGTCGTTCTACGAGGAGGTGCCGTCGACACGCCAGGTGGAGGTTCCGGAGGCGGTCGGGGTGGTCCTGCCTCTTCAGTGTGAGGGAGGGCAGCACCACCGACATGAAGGGTTACTTGTGATCCGCAGGGCGCGTGCCGGTCTGCCGAGGAGTGGGCAGGAGGACGTCCATCAGCCGCTTGCTGCTCGGCAAGGAGTGGCGGTGCTCAAGTCGGGAAGAGGTTACGGCCGAGACAGAGCACAGACGCGGTCCCAACAGCACCGCAGCACAGCCGATCCCAGAGGGCAGGGACGTGGCGCTGCCATGCCTCAGGGCATCACAGGCCTGGGCTCCAGAGGGCACCAAGCTGTTTCGCACGGACCTCTAGCAGCATGGAGAAGCCACGGCGAAGGACATGATTGCGGTCCTCCCGTTTGCGGTGCATTTCAGCTCGGGGCAGGCTGCCGCTGCAACACACTTGGCCTGCTCCATTCCGTCCGTCCACATTCCTGTGGGACTGTTACGGCTGCCGCTCGCACGGTGCCTCGGTGCATCTCCAAACATGTGGTCACAGCGGCCAGAGGCGTTGCACACGCCGAGGTGGAAGCATCACAGTCAGCTTCACGCAGGACAAAGCGGCATGTTTCCGTCGTGGCAGCATGCCTGCCTGTCGCGGGATGCCGTCCTTCGTCCCCGCAGTGTGGCATGGCAGATGGTGTTCCGAGTCCATGTAAACGGGTGGATGTCCCGTGGGAGACACGCAGTACGCGTTGCGCAGTCACGTCGGGAAACGAGACGCTGTCGCCGCTGATCCACGTTGCCTGTGCCGGGTCGTCGAACAGCTCACACTCCATGCCGCTTGGGGGTGGCGGCGAGGTCCTCTCCTGCCGTCGTGGATGGTGAGCAACCGTCCCGCAGCTCATGATGTGAATTCAGGTCAAAAATAACCGCTGCGGGGCCTAAGCGACGAATGTTGCCCGCAAACCGAACAGCGTGGGCAATTGCCGTTGGAGGGTTTCAGAGGTTAACCACGTACATGCTGGGGCTGGCCGGTGGGCGCACGCGGAAGGCAGTGGTCTCCACGCAGTTGGTGCCAGCAGCGACAGGCGCTCGCACGGCAAGGTGTGGCGCACCAAGAAGGCCACGCCACCGGCACGCCCACCGCAGGCCTGGTGGAAGTTGCTGCAGCCAACGAGCCTCGTCACTGGAGCACTCTGGTGCCTGCACTCCTGGAGAAGAACGATGCCTGGCCGGTGCTGCGCCAGTCGTGCTGCAAGGGCAATCCTGAAGGGCGAATGGCCTGAAGTTCTGAGCTGCCAGATAACCACGAGGCCATCGTCATCGGGGCTGCGGCTCTTGCAGACACCATCGCAGCGGGTGATGCCGACGGAGTGACCGCAATAAAGCGACTGTGCGGCTGTCAGCCGAGCTGCAGGCAAACCGCCTCGCCGCTCCACAACCGACAGAGCGTGGGACCTTCTCGAGGGGTGACGCCGTCGTGATCCCCATCACGCCCGCAGCAACGCCCTGCTGCAATCACACCCACAGAGAGACAAGGAATTGTGTGTGGATGTGTGCCGAGAGCACAGCGACTGTCACCGTCGGAAGAGGCCATCGTGGCACCGTCCGTCACGCGTCAGCACACACCGAGCAGCGCACGCAACCGGAAGTGCAAAAACAGAGGTAAAAGAAGAATGACCCCAAGAGCAGGCAGCACTTTCTCGCATGGCGGGCATCGTGCAGCCGCGTCAGCCGGCCACAAACTCAATGCAAAAGGCGTCCCACACACATCCATCCAATGGCACCGTGATTCCCACCGCACGCACACACGCAGCGGCCTCACCATTTCGGCACGGGATGCAAGCCAACGTCCCGCCGTCGCAAAGAGCATTCCTGCAGAACACTGTGCAAATACTTTTGTGTGTGCTGGAGTAGCAGAAAAGAAGAGGAGCACAGGGAGGCACATCAACACAGCAAGAGGCACAGCTGGACGGCAGCGATACATGCGGCACGGCCCCAACCTCAACAATCACGCACGGTGGCAGCACACATCCATCGAATAAATAAAACAAAACACGGCGGCAGGGTGTGGCTGTGTGTGTGGCGCTGCGGGTGTCTGCCCGCCCTGACCGCAAAAAAAAAAAAAAAAACAGGAGGGAAAGAAATGTGTGCTCCGCCCCACCAGCCCTCGTCGCACGCCCACACGTCACGGCTCCCTCAGCGCGCCGTTCGTCGCGGCCCCTCCTCATGCGTGCAGCAGGCGAGGCGCACAGGGCCGTCGTCATGAGCGTGTCGGTGGGTGTGCGAGTGGAGCAGTTGGGCGGGAAACACACGGCACCCCTCACAGGAAGAGTGCAGAAGAAACAATTAAAAGAGGGAAGAGTAGAAAAGGAAAAACGTGTCCATAGTGATTGCCCCAAAAGCAAAAAAGAGGGATGAGGGGATGAAAGATTTAAAATGCAAAAATTAATAACAAAAAAAGACTACCAAAAAATTTAAAGCAAACAGAAAAAAAAATTAAATTTACAAAACAACAAAAAAAGACGAGGCGTGGGACGACCAGCGCACACACTCTCATTGCTCCCGTAAAGCAAAACACACACACAGGGAGAGAGAGAGAGAGGTCGCCCACTCAATGCAATAAAAACAAAACAGAAACAGTTACGGTGCTCCGCCCATGCAGCCAGGCAGGACGGCAGCGGTGCGTGTCGTGCAAAAGAGAGCACCAACGGGCCTGCATGGGTGTGCATGCAATATATACAATGGGCACATTATGTGTGTGCTTCGTGGGATGAGGTGAGGGCGAGAGTCCATGCAAGGGGACACACACAGAGAGTGGGTGAAAGACGAGTGTGTGTGCGGGCGGTGCATGGCGCTCTCTCACTCACTCTCACGCGGCCACCACCGCAGCAGCAGCCGCACACGCAACAACAAGAAGAAGCAAAAGAGGGGAGGTGGTGTGCGAGACCGCGGTGCTGCCCTCACTGTTGCCAGGTGTCACCGTATGATTTGTTTTGGCATCGGCAAGTCTTTCTGTTGTTTGTGGTGCTGCCACACTGGCTGTAAGAGTATCGTTGGTATTAACAGCTGCGGGGTCGTTGTGTGTTCCTTTTGTGTCAGGCCGTTGAGCATCATTGCCGTTCTTATCCGCATTTCTCTGAACATCACCACTGCCAATTGTAGGGATGGATGATGCTGTTGTGTCTGCTGGATGGCCGTTGGCTGTATTCTTCATCAAATCCGATGGGACCCTCTCTTTACTGTGTTGCTCTGCCTCATCATCCTTTGAAGGAGTTTTAGGTGCTTTATAGTCCGTTGCGGTTTCTGAAGTTGTCGTCTTTCCAATTGTTGGTGTTGGAGTCTGCGTGTCTGTTGTTGCTGCTTGTGGATTTCCCTCTCCTGATGATAATTCCGTTGTTGATGCTTTTGACGACGGTGGCGGTACTGGTGTTGTTGGTTGTAATTGTGGTGTTGTTTTCAATGGCGGCGTTGGTTCTTTTGGTTGGTCGCTGAAACGGTCTCCCGTATCCACAGCACTCCGCAGTTTCTCGCGTTCAGTATTATCCTCACCAGTAACTCGAATTTCTGGTCTATCTTGTGTATTAGAAAGGCTTTCTTCTGCAATGGGCATTGGCTCCCCCGGTACTTCCACTTTGAGCAATACGGACGCCGCAGGATCGGTTGGTTCTAAATGCTGAACGGCTCGCTGAGATTCCATGTTTTGGGTGGATGACCCACCGCTGGGGGTCGTTGGAGCAACACCACCAGCAGGGGGACCAGATTGAATGACAAGACCAGCACCGTCACTTTCACCAGGCATGGCGGTGCCAACAACTGCACCTGAAGTTGAAATTGAATCATCCTCTTCCCTAAGAGGAACATCATCCTCACTAGCTTCAGCCTTTATAGCAGGAATAGGCAGTGCTGACCGTAAGGGCGGCGTAAGCGCAGCTTTATCACATCCGCTGGGCATATGGTACCAACTAGCACCCAACGCTCCCGACGCCATGCAGCCACCCAGTGCGCTGTTCTCGAATTCTCTCGCATAAACCCATCCGGCACCGCACCACAGCACGCAGAGGGCACACACCAGCAGCACACGGCCAGTCATCATCATCGCTCCTGTCACTTGCGTGCAGCCTTCAGCACAAACTAACTTCCAGTCAACGCAGAGCAGAAGTAAGCAGAGAAAAAAGTAACACAGCCAAAGTAACAAACAGCAGCAGGAGCAGCACGCACGTCGAGGCAGAGGAAATCAGTACAATTGCAGAACTTGCACACCGCCCTGCAAACCAGAAGTTAAGCAATAAAAACAAGAAAAGAGTCGAGTGTCCGGCAGGACTCCCGGAATAAATAAATAAAATTTATTCGGCAGGACGTTTATTTCATGCGCCAAGCGGCAAAATAAGAGCATGTGTTTGTGTATACATATATTGCCTCCATTGAATAAATTTAAAAGAGATCTTGCTGTTCCACCAGCCCACACAACATCCTTCACACTTCATTGCGGCATCCGGCCTGTTCCTCCAATCCTCCTTTCGTGCAGTCCGTGGGACGCACAGCAATGAGGCCGGCACCGCGTGTGGGCAAAAAAAAAAAAAAAACAAAGAGGAGGAAAATGTCTCTCATGACAGTGTGCAGCAGCCGACCATTAAATAAAGGAACAGCAAGGATACTTATCATTCCAAGAAAACAACAAAACCAACAGTAAAACGTAAATAATAAAAAAAAAAACACGCATGCAACGTGGCACATGTTCTCCGTGAGGAGTCGCAATTCCATACTCTTCGGCTCACAAGACCGCCACAAATCCACACAAACCCAGAAGAAGTAGCAACGCCCAATACACACACACACGCAGAATGCCGTCAACAGTTAACTCTCGCAGTGTCAATTTCGCGTCGTAGAGCACGGCAAAGCAGTCGTCGGGACTCACACCGTTTCCGGAATACTGCGCGGTGAATTCTCGTAATTGGGGTTTTCGTGTCCAGAGGCATTGCGTTGAGTCAATCCGTCCGCATCACCCTCAGCAACAAATCCACTGCCTGCAACGCCATTTTCTGAAACGAGAGATTTGTGTCCAGTGGCGTTGTGCTCACTCACCTCGTCCGTGTTATCCGCAGCAACGTGTTCCCTGCCGCCATAAGTGACAGACATGATCCCGGAACCATTCGACGCCACTAATATTTTCAAACCATAGGCAAAGAAAAGCCTCTTCTTGGATGCATTCGGGACCATCATTTCGTTCGGATTGGTGGCAAACTCAGGCCTCGTCTTAGGCGTGCTGGTCGCCGTGTTGGATGCGGGACTCCGATCGACGGTGTTGGGTCCGTCAGCCGCGGCAGACTGTCGCCAATCCTCGTGTTGACGTGACGGCTCAGCATTAACTTGCGGTGCAGTTGTCCACCAGATTTTGTGTCATCCTTCCCTTCACGGGGCGGCGGCAACTGACAGATGCCCGTACGGTCAGCAGCGCTGCTCCGTGCAGGCGGATGGATGGTTCCATCGGGAGAAAATTGACGCCACCACAATTCATGAGGGCCGGCGTATTTATGTGACGGCACATTCATCGTGAAGGCAACGGTGGCCCCTTCCTCCTTCGTTGAACAGCTGGCAGCACAGTTGCTACATGTGTGCACCGCATTGGCCACATGGCACACAGCACCCAGCTCACCATTCCTGCCATGCATGCGCACATCAAAGCCACTGAAAGTATAACTCTCATGCTGAGCCTCAGCACTGGCAGCAGAAAACTTCTTCCACTCCCACACACACACACACACGCGATAGCGCAGGCTGCCGTCACTCGGAGCACACGACACATCCACCGGCACAACCACCGCATCCGCATCACCAGATACATGTCCAGGACTCCCAGCTGCCGCCACACGCACACGGAGCAAGCAAGCACCACAGCAGCCACACGCGCAAGCGAATCCTCATCCATCCATGACGCGGCACCAAAATTTCCAGCCATCCCGCCCTCAATGAAACACGGAGCCCAACTCAACGCAGTCACACGCGGTGCACCACACCCGCAGGAAAAGAGACTCGGGCTGCGCACTTCACTCCCTCCTCCCTTCTCCTCATGGCCACGGAAGAAGACAACAGCCGCCACACGCAACTGCCAGCATGCACTGCAAAAGGAGCATTCATATCCACTGCAATGTGCATTTTGTGTGTGTGTGGTTGTGTGTGCCTGCAGAAACACAAAGCAATGAAGTAGAAAAAAGGGAGCAGAGTATGTGAAGGGACGCACAAAATGTACAGCAGAGAAGCATAACGGAAACAACAAGAAGAAGACCGCTGAAACTCATGATTGCACTGCAGCCCAAGCAGCGGCAATCCACACAAAATTTATTTAAAACAAAAAAACTTTCCCCTTCGTCTTATATAAACCCCATCGCACAAAATAATTATAAATGAAAAAAGAAATCGTCCATTACTGTTCCACACAAAATAAGAAAAAAACAGCCGGCTGCCTTATAGCCCTACCAAACTGTCTGCATACATTTTGCCCGCAAAAGAAAATTAAATAGTTGCATGTCTTTCAACCGTCTGACCCTCCGTGTGTCCGCACATCGTTTATATTTCATGGGGTCATCTGCGTGTTGCTGCTCCCCTCAGCCCTCTCATCGGCGTGTGAGTGCGGCCCGCAGAGCACAGTCACTCGTGTGTGTGAGGACTGAGAGAAGCACGCAGACATGACGGGAGTCGCGTCACTCCATCGGGAGAGTGAGCGCAGCAAAAAAAAATCATCAGGAGGGAAAAGAAATGCTCACGAGGCCGACACCGAAGGGAGTGCCGGCGCGAGAAATGCACACGCAAAGCAAAAAGAAAAGAAAAACACGGCGGCAGGGTGTGGCTGTGTGTGTGGCGCTGCGGGTGTCTGCCCGCCCTGGCCGCAAGGAAACAAAACAAGAGGGAAAGAAATGTGTGCTCCGCCCCACAGGCCCTCGTCGCACGCCCACACGTCACGGCTCCCTCGGCGCGCCGTTCGTCGCGGCCCCTCCTCATGCGTGCAGCAGGCGAGGCGCACAGGGCCGTCGTCATGAGCGTGTCGGTGGTGTGCGAGTGAAGCAGTTGGGCGGGAAACACACGGCACCCCTCACAGGAAGAGTGCAGAAGAAACAATTAAAGAGGGAAGAGTAGAAAAGGAAAAACGTCCATAGTGATTGCCCCCAAAAGCAAAAAAGAGGGATGAGGGGATGAAAGATTTAAAAAAAGAAAAGAACAGAAAAAAAAACTTTTTTTAAACAAAAGAAGAAGCAAACAGGAAAATAAATTTAAAATACGCAAAAAAAAAAAAAAAAAAAGAATGGGTTTGTAAGAAATGGATAAAAGCTCGTAGCAAAAGCAAATTAAAAAAATTACAAAAATAAAAAAAAATAAAAAACAGTTACGGTGCTCCGCCCATGCAGCCAGGCAGGACGGCAGCGGTGCGTGTCGTGCAAAAGAGAGCACCAACGGGCCTGCATGGGTGTGCATGCATATATACAATGGGCACATTATGTGTGTGCTTCGTGGGTTGAGGTGAGGGCGAGAGTCCATGCAAGGGGACACACACAGAGAGTGGGTGAAAGACGAGTGTGTGTGCGGGCGGTGCATGGCTCTCTCTCACTCACTCTCACGCGGCCACCACCGCAGCCGCAGCCGCACACGCAACAACAAGAAGAAGAAGAAGCAAAAGAGGGGAGGTGGTGTGGGAGACCGCGGTGCTGCCGTCACTGTCGCCAGGCATCGCTGTATTATTTGTTGTAGCAGCTGCTTCAGCTGGAATTGTTTTCGTATTGTCATATTTTTTTTCATCGCTTTCCTCTACTTCTTTCCTTTCGGCATTTGATTCCGTCGCAGGTTTTTGAGTTCCCTCTGTATTGACCCTGTCTGCTTCATTTTTGACAGTATCGGTGGCGGTTGAGAGTAACGTTGGGGTTGATTTGTCATGACCGTCGGGTGTTACGCTCTCTTGGTTGTCTGTAGTGGAGGCGCTGTCATCCTCTTCTGAATCACTGTTTGACTCTGTGGTCCCTGGGTCATCTTCTGGGTGTAAAACCGGCACGTTTCCTTCACGGTTGTGTTGTGCTTCCACTGGCGGTGTTGGTGGTCCTCCTGTTGTTTTTGCTGCTTCACCTTCTGTTGCTGGTCCTCCCGATAGTGGCTTCGGTGTCTCTCCCGGTGTTTTTTCCAATTCTTCCAGTTCGCTCCTTGGTGCTTGTAGAGTTTCTGCTTCCGCCGGTGTTATTACATGAGAAGATTGGCCGGCCTCATCTCGGCTGCCAACGTACTCCTCACAAATACGCTCACCTTCAGAGTCGTCAGGTTCCCCTAAAATCTTGCGACAAAAAACTTTACAAACCACCCTCATCGCATCGCGTATGCAGTCTTTCACCGCTGACTCATTCACCGTCCCATCCTCATTAATGTACTTTTTGTCCGTCGCACATTCGTTCTTTAGCAACGTTTCCCAATTAACAACCAAATACCCATGCGGAACATTTTCACGACCGGTAACGTCAGGGATAGACGATACCACCGCCGCACCACAGCACCACAGCACGCAGAGGGCACACACCAGCAGCACACGGCCAGTCATCATCATCGCCATCACTCCTGTCACTTGCGTGTAGCCTTCAGCACAAACTAACTCCCCGTCAACGCAGAGTGAAAGGAAAAGGGAAGAGACAAGTCACACAGCCACCGCACAGTGACAAATGCCAGCCCACCAGCAGCAAAAAGACACCATGAGGCAGTTGGAATCAGTAAAAGGCAAAAAACAAAAACACACACCGCCCTAAAGCAATCAATCAGCAAGAAAAACAAACAATTAAAAACACGAGTAAAGAAGCAAAAAAGTAGAAAAAGCAACTGCAGAGTTTGGCTCCAGCGTGCATGCACCCACACACAGACATGCGTCCACGCAAACAGTTGTGTGCGTGTCATGCATAACTGTGTCTGGGATGCGTCCAACGTGACGAATGTGGGGCAAAACGCGGAGCACACAGCAGGGCAGCGGAAACAAACAAATCAAAAAACAATCATCATAATTACTCTTACTTTATACATCGGACCACAGTAGACGTACACATGTCCCCGTGGCTTTGAGTGCTGGCACGCACAGCACGCACACACCTCTTCAGCCCACAGCGGTGTACGCCAGCGCGGATGCGGCGAGCAGCAGCGGGGCACACACCCACGCAGAGCTGCTGAGGCTGCCGTCGACTTCGCGAAGACGTGACGGTGCGCGGGTGGTCGTCGTAGTTGGCGCCTTTGTAGTCGTGGTGGTAGTCGTGGTTGTCGTAGTGGTCGTGGTTGTAGTTGGCACCTTTGTCGTTGTCGTCGTGGTCGTAGTTAGCGCGTTTGGTTTCTCATTTTGTTCTTTTACCGTAACGGTACCCGAATGTTCTGCCTGTTCCTTGCTTAATTGCCCTTCCTGATCCTGTTTCTTATTCAGATTACGTTGTGACTCTGCCGTTTCGGTTACTGTACTCGTTGTCTCTAACGTATGAGTCACCGTAGTTTCTGTCTGTTTAGTCTCTCTCTCTCCCTCTCTTGTCTTTTGCGAAGGAGAAGTTGCACTGGGCGATTCCGTCACATGATCTTGCTCGTCTGGCTCAGAATTTGGTGAACCGGAATCTTTTCCAGATTTACCAGCTGTATCTTCAGTTGTTGTCACGCACACGGACGGGCAGCAGCACAGGGCGAGCACCAACAGGGCGCACAGCAGACGGCACATCGTCATCATCGTGAGTGTGGTCGTTCAGTGGTGTGGAGCTGATCTGCACAGTGAGGGACATGGAGAGCAACAGGGAAGACGAGAGGTGCGGCAGACACACACAGAGGGCACACCACATGAGGAGAGGGCAGCAGCCAGGCATGCACCGTACGCCGCACACCACGCACGACACACACTCCAATCCACGGCAGCAGGCACACACACACACAGCCCTGCCGCAACACCAACACACAGATGGAAGAGGGAGAGGCAAACAGGAGCGGCACACAAGGCTCCACCGCATGCACATACGGCGAGAGCGGTCCGTCGTGTCTGCACCCCTCACGGAGGACACGCACACACACAAGAGGAGGTGCAGCGCACACAGCAACACAAAAGCAAAGTAACAATAAAAAAGGAGAGATCCCCGCACACCACGTGAATTGTTGGTCCACGGGAAGCGCAGCCAACATTCATCACAAGAACAATTCAGTTGCCTTTGGCCTTCGTCCATATTCAGCGCACACCACTTCATGCAGGTCGGCCATCACCGCATCAGCAGCAGCACACGCAAAAATAAGCGCAAGGAATGGAATAAAGCAAGCAACCATTTATTTGTGTTTCTGTTTAATGTTGGCAGATGTCTGCATGCGTTTTGTTTTGTTTTTGCAGAGGACAAACCTTCATGCCTGCATCGTGTGTTGGGGATTCCTGCAGGGTGCACAATTATTATTTCTTTCCTCTTGTGAATGTTTATTGTGTTGGTGCAGCCAATAATTCGGTTTGTGTTGTTCCTGCCTTTCGCTGGTAAAGTGTTGCAATAGATGTTTGTTTTTCCTTTCGTTGCTGTGGCACCTGATTCCTCACCGCAATAAACGGTGGAAATAAAAAATATGTGAGTGGACTCCCATACACTAGAATGCACCTTCGCTCCTATTTATTGGTGCATGGAAGGGCATGTGTGTTTGGTGGTGTCTCGTCCATATATTTTGTGGGTGTACATTCCCCTGCAGGCTGAGGGCGGGACGACGCTCCGTCGCGGTGCACTTCCCTCGCATGCCGCCCACTGTGATTCAGCATGCATCACCCCCTCACACATTCCGTGGTGCCACACCGCTGATATTATTGCAGCCGCTGTGATTCCGCGTAATTCACGCATTTGATTGTGCCACAATACATCCGCTCGTGTGGCCGCCGCATCCAAACGGCGGTGCCCAACACCGTGAGCGGCAGTCCACATCCTTGCATGTCCCAACGCAGTGGTGTTGGACTGTCAGCCAGGCGTCAGACAAGAGGAGAGTCTTGTGCTGGCAGTACAACACACGGAGCTGCAGTGAAGGGCTCGGGCGGGGACGCATCTATTTGTCGCAAAGCAGTGAAAAGGAGTCGGGCAAAATAATGCCGGCTGCATGCACGACACCATATCCGCAGCCAAAGCATGCGACGTGATGTGTGTTTCACTGGTGCTGTGGAATGCCTGCAGACGACGTCACTAGTGGAGGCATGCCACCCATGATCAGCGGACAGACAATAATCGGCATGGGAGGCCACAAAAGGCAGCAACGACGCCAGCAGCAGGAGCAGCTCTCTCACCCTCTCTCTCTCTGTTGCCTCCGAGAAGTAAATATTCCACCAGCCACAGCCGGCTGTGCAATCGTGACACTCCATGCACGTCGTGGCTGCGTCCACACATCCTGTTCCCTGCTGCGCCTCAAAAGATGCCTCACTCCGTCCACTAAATGCATCGATGTGGGCCGTGCCTGGGCTGTTCGTGAGGACCACAGCGATGTGAGGGTCACCGAGTCGCAGCACGTTTGCTGTGGCGTTGTTGCATGGCACCTGCACACACACGCAGCGCCTGCATCCCTCCCTTTTGTGTCCGCCCTCTGCCGGAGTGGCCACACACACGGGCAGCAGCAAAATCACTTCACCCTCGACGATCCAAAATCAACACCGACATCCCTCGCGACGCAAAGATCTCAGTTGCCAGCACGGGCTTCCTGCCGCTCTGCCACCGACGCTGAAACACGGCACAGTGCACGCACTTATTTTCCTCGTGTGCAGTCAGCCGTTTGCTTCACACATTCTTCGATGGGCTGACGCCCACAAAAGCACGCCACAAAAGGCCACTGTGATCGCACCCGCTCTTGCGATGAGCGTCGGTGTGTGCATGGATCCGCCGCTCACACGTGCTGGCAGGCAGCCTGCAGCCGGTGCCCTCGTGCCAGTTCATCGGCTCCAGCACGGAAAAGAGAAAACGGCCTATTCCCGATGCACTTATTCCCACCAGCAGCACCAACACGCTGGTCGCTAGCCGTCATTCCTCAGCACATCCAGGAATGCCGAAAAGTGACGTGGAACTGTCAGCCAGCAATGCCACAATCCCCGCACACATGTCGGCTCCACCAAAGAAGACACACAAACTACAATAACAACACCCTTCACATGTCATCCGAACATCATTCCGACACACCGCGACACGCCAAACAGAAGTATTCGTCACCCCAATGCACCTCCCCACACAATCACATAGTCCACGCACCACGCACGGCAGCAGCTCACACGCGGTCAAACAAATGTTCTTCGGATCAGTGTTATCCACGTGCTGCGGTGGGAAGTAAAAAAAAGAGACGGGCGGCCAGACCCCAAAAGACTGCCACGACTGGCCGCAAGTCAACGGAACGCAGCCACTCAAAAGAATTCAGTTCTAATGCCCTCAACCTCCCACCTTCTCCCACAAAGGCTGCAAAAGATTGAAAACAAAAGCACCGTCCAATATATTCTTCGTGCAACACCAAAAGAAGCCGCAGTGCCTTATGCTGTCCTCACAGTCCGTTGATGACGCCTGGATGCGGATGGGCACGCATCGGTTATTCCAAACGACGCTGCACACCCGCGACGCATCCTGCGCTCTGGGACACGCGTCCTTCACTATCACCAGAGACGCCCACGCACCGTCGGTACGCAACAAATCGTCAAGGAACGAAGGATGCGTCAGGCTGACAGCAAGACACCCGCTGGCAATCGCGTCGCAGGCATCATCAACAACAGCTGCAGCAGCGCAGCAGGTCACAGAGTAACGTCGATCAACGGACGCATGGCGTATGTCAAAGAAGAAACATTGGTGGCGTCACAAGAATACAAGAGGCTAACACTCTTTCAACAGGAAAGAAGGAATACAGGAATATAAAAAAGAAAACAGTTTAAGCGTCCACCGTCAAAGCAAGCCAACAATTAAAAAAAAAAAAAAAAACGGAATGGGTGCTCTCAACCACAAAACAATAAAGAAAAAGCCGAAGCATGGGACAACCAGCGCACACACTCTCATTGCTCCCGTAAAGCAAAACACACACACAGGGAGAGAGAGAGAGAGAGGTCGCCCACTCAATGCAATAAAAACAAAACAGAAACAGTTACGGTGCCCCGCCCATGCAGCCAGGCAGGACGGCAGCGGTGCGTGTCGTGCAAAAGAGAGCACCAACGGGCCTGCATGGGTGTGCATGCAATATATACAATGGGCACATTATGTGTGTGCTTCGTGGGATGAGGTGAGGGCGAGAGTCCATGCAAGGGGACACACACACAGAGAGTGGGTGAAAGACGAGTGTGTGTGCGGGCGGTGCACGGCGCTCTCTCACTCACTCTCACGCGGCCACCACCACCGCAGCAGCCGCACACGCAACAACAAGAAGAAGCAAAAGAGGGGAGGTGGTGTGGGACACCGCGGTGCTGCCGTCACTGTCACTGTCTGTCGTCGTCTTTGTTGGGTTTTTTATTACTGTGGCTTCAACTGGTGTTTCCTTCGGATTGGCATTCATATTTTCATTTTTTTTTTCTTCTCGTGTCTCTGCACCATCAGCTGCTGGATCATTGTTCGGGGTGCCGTCTTCAGTGCTCTTGTCGGCTTCATTATTGGCGGCATCACCGTTTGCCGTTGGTGATGGTGGCCTTGATCCTGCATGGTCGGCAGATGGTTCATTGTGCTGATCGGCTGTGATTGTAATAACGCTCTTTTTTTGTGAATTGTTCTTTGGGTCCATTTCACTTTGGGGTTTTTGTAGCTGTTGCTTATTCACGGTATCTCCAGGGCTGGAATGTTCATCCACTTGTGTTGTTGGTAGTGTTGGTGGTGTTGGTAGTTGTATTTCTTTCTGTTTCGCTTGACTGTCATTTGTCTCCGTGAGTGCCATATTACCTTTGCCTTTTTCTGGTTCTCCGTCTGATAGTTTTGTTACTTCCGTTTCGCCTGCATCTTCTTGTTTCAGCGCGTCATCGAGAGATTCATTACTCTCGGAAGTATCCTCCAAAGCGGGTTCCACGTCACTCTGAGTGCCAGGACCGCCAGATGCTGATGAAGAGGATTGTTCAGTTTTTGGTTTTTGGGGACCAGGTTCACTTCTACTCTTATCATCCGCTTCATTTCCTTTTTTATCCAACTCTTCTTGTTTTCCCTCCTCTCCTGTATTTCTTCCTCCGGGCTTCTGCAGTGGAGCCGCTGGTGGTGGTGGTGGTGGATCTGCGACAACACCTCCTCCTGAGACAAGCGCTGCACCGCCCTCCGCATTATCGCTCAATGTCTTATCCTGCAATGATTCCTTCGAATTATCCTGAGATGAACCGGCATCACCGCTCAATCCTCCCTCATCTGCAGCTTCAACCGCATTTATTAATGCCATTCGAGTGGATAACAACCCGCAGTTCGCCTTTAGAGACACGCCGTCATCTCCACCATTACTCGTGTGCATTAAACCGCTCCCACCACCCTCACTGCAGTAATCGTCCATCGCGCGCCCAAAAACTGCACCGCACCACAGCACGCAGAGGGCACACACCAGCAGCACACGGCCAGTCGTCATCATCGCCATCACTCCTGTCACTTGCGTGTAGCCTTCAGCACAAACTAACAACACGTCAACGCAGAGTGAAAGCAAAGAGAGAGAAACACGTCACACAGCCACGCACCGTCCAATCCAGCGAAAAGAGCCACGCACCACAACAACAATTAGGTGGGCACAGTTCAAGAACAACCAAAACAAAGCAAAAGAGGAGCGCCCCTCGCCGTGCACCTTTTCTCACATCCCCACAGTCACCATTACTGTTACTTTCTTTCCTCAGACCCTCCAGCACAGGCCTCGGGATCGTCGGGCCCTCCCAGTACAGGCAGTCCGTCATGCGCTCACGCTGCGCCGCAACGTACGCCACCTCCTCCCAGTTTAACAGCTCCGTGTCCACCACGTCCCTCACAATCGCCGGCATGCCACGGCCGCGCAACAAACACGCTGCGTCACAATGTCGTGCCGCTTCTCCTCTCCAATCAGAAGCGCAGCGCCCAACGCGTACTGGCGCACGTGCTCCATGCGCTGCAACCACACGCGGATCAGGCTGGCCGTCATGCACTGCAGCTTGTTGTCCTTGTGCTTGGAGCAGACCCTAGCAGCCTCTCAATCCACGGCCTGGGAGCTGCGAGAGGCTGCCGAGAGGTGCCAATTGTGTGGAAGATCCAAATGTGCGGAAACAACGGTCACCCTCACTCCCTCACACATCTCCACTCCCTCCACTCTCCCACACAAAAGAACGGTGCCATGGGGAAGGGAAGCCCGCCGCACAACGCACGCATCAGAAACGCCATCCACGTCGCACTGCAAGATAGAGCCATGCGCACGGCACACACACGGCGGCAACGAGAGGGACGGGGCGCATACAAGTCCACGGCGCTGTCCCTTACTTCTCTCTTCTCTAACGGGTGTCGTCCCACACTCACAATGAGGCGCGGCGCACACCATCCGCTCCACTCCGAGTGCGCTCTGCAGGCCGCGCCCAGTCACCCTCGTGCCATCGAAAAATGGGAAACACAAGCAATCGTCGTCGCGGACCATCGGTGCCTCTAGCAGGGAAGAAAAAAAAGAAATGAGGGCATTTCAACAGCACAGCCAGCAGTGGGACACTCAACGGGACGCGATGAGACACAGTAACAGTGGATACGGTAATAATAAAAGCAAGCCGCCGGAATTTACAAAAGGAAAGAGCAAAAAAGAGTGAGGCTCCGGCATGACTCCCAAAAGTAAAATTAAAAAATTAGTAAAATTTGGTTCGGCAGGGTTTTTTTTCATGTGCCGAGCAGCACAAGAGGACCGTGTGGTTGTGTAATATACACATTGCCCGCACCAAGAAGAAAATAAAACTAAAACAAAAAGATTGTACTGTTTCACCAGCCCACAGAACATCCTTCACATTTCATGCGGCATCCGGCCTTTTCTCCTCAATCCTCCTTTCGTGCAGTCCGTGGGACGCACAGCCGCAGCGCCGGCACCGCGTGTGGGCAAAAACAAAAGCAAACAAAAAAAGAGGGAGAAGCACTTCGCTCATTACAGTGTGAAGCAACCAAACATTACGTAAACAAAAAACAACAGTACTTATTACTCCAGCTAAACTGCATTAAAAAGAACATTACAAAGTAAGAGCATTGAAAAAAACAGACAGTAAAAGCACAGGCAATGCGGCGCGTATTCTCCGTGAGGAGTCGCAAATCCACACTCTGTGGCTCAGAAGGCTGCCACAACACAAATACAATCCCAGAGGAAGCAGCGGCACACAAGACACGCACACACGCACGGTGTTGTTACCGCCTAAATCACGCAGTATCGATTTCACGTCGTTGGGAGAGGCGAGGCGGTCGTCGGGACTCACGCCGCTCCACACCCTGCGAGGTGACTATTTGTGGTGGGGATTCGTTTCCAGGGCGTTGTGCCCATTCATTTCTCTTCTGTAATATCCCCAGCAACGTGCTCTCTGACGCTGTCAACTACTCGAGTCTCCTCGGGTGGCGTCGGGGCCGCTTCTCACGTCGGAACGGGGACCCTGTCCTTGAGTGCACGGATCGCAGTGGAATTCAGTGGGCGGTTGTACAGAAAGACATTCGTCACCGTCACATGAGATTCGTGCCCACCGCACGCGCCAAAGCGAACCCTCAGGTGGTTTCTCGCCCGTCAACGGCACCTCTTCCTCCCCCAGCGAATGACCATCAATATGCACAGAGGCCTTGTTGCCTTGCAGCATGAGTGACACTTGGTATTCTTCCTTCGGCTCCCAAGTGCTGCTCCGTGTTGTTGTATTGCCTTCGAACGCCGTCTCCCACTTCTTATTGTGGCTGCACGACAGTCCCACGGTATGATTGGACGCAGTGTCCGCCAGCATCGCAGTGAGTGGAGGAGTGTTCCCACTCGGAGTCTCTTCGATGGTCACCGACACCACAAGTGTGAAGTTGTGGCTCAAAGATACATGACGCACATTATCACCCCGAGTGTTCACAGGCCGCATTGCGCTGGACTCAAGTCCCGTCAGTTGTAACCCATCGCTGTCCTTCACTGCATTCCTTCACCATCGCATTCAGGCAAAGGTACTCGTCCTTCCACGTGTCATCACTGGCCGCATCGGACAAAACTGCTACCAGCCACGCCGTGGGGATAGACAAGCTGGAGAAGAAAATGTCCTTTTGCACCCAAGTGCTGAGGACGGACCTGACCGCACTCAGTTCCTCCGTCAGGCGGGAGAGTGAAATGACACGGCATTCACCGTTGCCCTTCCGTTGTAAAAGATGCAAACTGCCATCCAAGTACAGCAGGGTCCTGGCGAGCATACAATTCGCAGCATTGTCCACGGCAACCGGTCCAACAGAAAACGTGCGGTTGTTGTCTGTGACCCAAAGGCAGAGCGCAGTGGCCCTTTTCTTCCCCGAGGCATGCCCTCTCTGAGTGCACAGCATGACCTTCCTTTCCTCAATGGTCGTGGTGATGAGAGCATCCACATGCAGGCTTTCCTTCTGAGAGACTCCTGATCGTGCGTTGACCCACACGCCTTAGAGTGTCCCGATGGCCTCCGTCCACTTTGCCCCCATGTCACGCGACCCGTACACCCTCTGGTCATTCTCGCAATCAACAATCATGAGAAGTGATCCCTCCCATTCGGTGACGCGGGTGTTAAGGCATTCCGCAGGGGAAATGTCCTCAGAGAGCGCCCAGTTACTGCCGTTGTCCGTCGAGCAAATGATCATGGAGTAAACGTCTTCTGCTTCACTCTCCGCCATCAGAGGAAACACAAGCGTGCCATCCTCCATCACAAAACCCGAGCCACCAGAAGCGATGAACTCCGTCCAGTCACCCTTGTGAGAAGCAGAAGAGATCAGCTTCGAGAGTGGTTTGGGGTCGCCCCATTCGATCCGTCCACTCTGCTTGCCACCCGTGGGATTCGTGACATCACCCACAACCAGTTTCAGCTCCAATCCGCCCTCTCTCCAACACCCACCTTCATAGGACACATCAGAGCCTCCCGCAAGAAGAAACACTCCGTGGCCCTTCGTGATTGTTGTGGGGCGGAGCACAACACCCAAACTCTCCTTTCCCTCCGCTGCAACAACCACAGTGTGTGCCTTCCATGTATACTTTTATTGATCTCACCAACAAGAGCGGACCAATTTCACGCAGTGTCGATGTACCCCGCAACCACATCAGAAGAAAAGGGCCTACTTAATTGACCACCTTGATATTCGGCATCCATGTGACCCTCGGCGAAAGCAGCAATTACTCCACCAGCACTGACGAGAGAGGGTGAAGCAAATGAATCCCTCGTCGTAACTGGAACAGTCCCATCTGTCGGCTGCACCAGCGTCGTCTGCGGTACAAATAGATCGACTCCCTGCGGCAACTCAACATTTATTAAACCACTCATCGCATCATCAATGGGATCCCCCTTCGGCCCGGTGACAGGCGTGGGACTTCTTTCAGGTGGTGTCGGAGCCACATTGATATTCTAAACGTAAGCAAACTCAGGCTTCGTCTCGGAATTGTTGGTCGCCGTGTTGGATGCAGGACTCGGATCGACGGTGTTGGGTCCGTCAGCCGCGGCAGACTGTCGCCAATCCTCGTTCTGACGTGACGGCTCAGCATTAACTTGCGGCGCAGTTGTCCACCAGATTTTGTGTCATCCTTCCCTTCACGGGGTGGCGGCAACCGACAGACGCCTGTCTGGTCAGCATCGCTGCTCCGTGCAGGCGGATGGATGGTTCCATCGGAGGGAAATTGACGCCACCACAATTCATAAGGGCCGGCGTATTTATGCGTCGTCCCATTCATCGTGGAGGCAACGGTGGCCCCTTCCTCCTTCGTTGCACAGCTGGCAGCACAGTTGCTACATGTGTGCACCGCATTGGCCACATGGCACACAGCACCCAGCTCACCATTCCTGCTACGCATGCGCACATCAAAGCCACTGAAATTACAGTTCTCATGCTGAGCCCCAGCACTGGCAGCAGAACACTTCTTCCACGCACACACACACACACACACGCGATAGATCAGGCTGCCGTCACTCTAAGCACACGACACATTCACCGGCACAACCACAGGAAAGGAGACTCGGGCTGCGCGCTCACTCCCTCCTTCCTTCTCTTCATGGCCACGGAAGAAGAGGACAGGCGCCACACGCAACTGCCAGCATGCACTGCAAAAGAAGCATTCAAATCCACTGCAATGTGCATCTTGTGTGTGTTTGCCTGCAGAAACACAAAGCAAAGAAGTAGAAAAGAGAGCAGAGTATGTGGAGAGACGCAAAAAAATGTACAGCAGAGACGCATGACGGAAACAACAAGAAGAAGACCGCTCAAACTCATGACTGCACTGCAGCCCATGCAGCGGCAATTCACACAAGATTTATTTAAAACAAAAAAAACTTTCCCCTTCGTCTTATATAAACCCCATCACACAAAATAATTATAAATGAAAAAAGAAATCGTCCATTACTGTTCCACACAAATTTAAACAACTGCTTGTCGTGTGGCCACACCAAACTGTCCGCACATATTTTGCCCACAAAAAAAAAATTAAATAGTTGCATGTCTTTCAGCCGTCTGACCCTCCATGTGTCCGCACATCGTTTATATTTCATGGGGTCATCTGCGTGTTGCTGCTCCCCTCAGCCCTCTCATCGGCGCGTGAGTGCGGCCCGCAGAGCACAGTCACTCGTGTGTGCGGGGACTGAGAGAAGCACGCAGACATGACGGGAGTCGCGTCACTCCATCGGGAGAGTGAGCGCAGCAAAATAAAAAAACATCAGAGGGGAGAGAAATGCTGACGGGACTGCCAGCGCGTGAAATGAGCACGCAAAGCAAAAACAAAGAAAAGAAAAACACGGCGGCAGGGTGTGGCTGTGTGTGTGTGGCGCTGCGGGTGTCTGCCCGCCCTGGCAGCAAAGAAAACAAAACAAGAGGGAAAGAAATGTGTGTTCCGCCCCACAGGCCCTCGTCGCACGCCCACACGTCACGGCTCCCTCAGCGCGCCGTTCGTCGCGGTCCCTCCTCATGCGTGCAGCAGGCGAGGCGCACAGGGCCGTCGCCATGAGCGTGTCGGTTAGTGTGCGAGTGGAGCAGTTGGGCGGGAAACACACGGCACCCCTCACAGGAAGAGTGCAGCAAGAAACAATTAAAAGAGGGAATAGTAGAAAAGAAAAAAACGTCCATGGTGATTGCCCCCAAAAAGCAAAAGAGAGGGGATGAGGGGATGGAAGAATTAAAAAAAGAAAAGAACAGAAAAAAAAACTTTTTTTAAACAAAAGAAGAAGCAAACAGGAAAATAAATTTAAAATACGCAAAAAAAAAAAAAAAAAGAAAAAAAAAAAGAATGGGTTTGTAAGAAATAGATAAACGCTAATAGCAAAATCAAATCAAAAAAATTACAAAAAAATAAAAAATAAAAAACAGTTACGGTTACGGTGCTCCGCCCATGCAGCCAGGCAGGACGGCAGCGGTGCGTGTCGTGCAAAAGAGAGCACCAACGGGCCTGCATGGGTGTGCATGCATATATACAATGGGCACATTATGTGTGTGCTTCGTGGGATGAGGTGAGGGCGAGAGTCCATGCAAGGGGACACACACAGAGAGTGGGTGAAAGACGAGTGTGTGTGCGGGCGGTGCACGGCTCTCTCCTCCTCACTCTCACGCGGCCACCACCGCAGCCGCAGCCGCACACGCAACAATAAAAAGAAGCAAAAGAGGGGAGGTGGTGTGGGGGACCGCGGTGCTGCTGTCACTGTCGCCAGGCATCGCTGTATTATTTGTTGTAGCAGCTGCTTCAGCTGGAATTTTTTTCGTATTGTCATATGTTTTTTCATCGCTTTCCTCTACTTCTTTCCTTTCGGCATTTGATTCCGTCGCAGGTTTTTGAGTTCCCTTTGTATTGACCCTGTCTGCTTCTTTTTTGACAGTATCGGTGGCGGTTGAGAGTAACGTTGGGGTTGATTTGTCATGACCGTCGGGTGTTACGCTCTCTTGGTTGTCTGTAGTGGAGGCGCTGTCATCCTCTTCTGAATCACTGTTTGACTCTGTGGTCCCTGGGTCATCTTCTGGGTGTAAAACCGGCACGTTTTCTTCACGGTTATGTTGTGCTTCCACTGGCGGTGTTGGTGGTCCTCCTGTTGGTTTTGCTGCTTCATCTTCTGTTGCTGGTCCTCCCGATAGTGGCTTCGGTGTCTCTCCCGGTGTTTTTCCCAATTCTACCAGTTCGCTCCTTGGTGCTTGTAGAGTTTTTGCTTCCGCCGGTGTTATTACATGAGAAGATTGGCCGGCCTCATCTCGGCTGCCAACGTACTCCTCACAAATACGCTCACCTTCAGAGTCGTCAGGTTCCCCTAAAATCTTGCGACAAAAAACGTTACAAACCACCCTCATCGCATCGCGTATGCAGTCTTTCACCGCTGACTCATTCACCGTCCCATCCTTATTAATGTACTTTTTGTCCGTCGCACATTCGTTCTTTAGCAAAGTTTCCCAATTAACAACCAAATACCCATGCGGAACATTTTCACGACCGGTAACGTCAGGGATAGACGATACCACCGCCGCACCACAGCACCACAGCACGCAGAGGGCACACACCAGCAGCACACGGCCAGTCATCATCATCGCCATCATCACTCCTGTCACTTGCGTGTAGCCTTCAGCACAAACTAACTCCCAGTCAACGCAGAGTGAAAGCAAAAGGAAAGACACGGCCGCTACACCACGCACAACCACCGCACAGCGACAAATGCCAGCCCACCAGCAGCAACAAACACACCATGAGACAGTTGGAATCAGTAAAAGGCAACAAACGCAAACACACACCGCCCTAAAGCAATCAATCAGCAAGAAAAACAAACAATTAAAAACACGAGTAGAGAAGCAACAAAAAAGTAAAAAAAAGCAACTGCAGAGTTTGGCTCCAGTGTGCATACACCAGCACACAAAAATGCGTCCACGCAAAAAGTTGTGTGCGTGTCATGCATATGAGTGTGTCTGGGATGCGTCCAACGTGACGGATACAGGTAGCAAAAACGCGAAGCAAAAAGGACGGCAGCAGAAGCAAATAAAGCAAAACACAATCATTATTTTCTCTTATTTATTTACATCGCAGCAGAACACACGCACAAAAATCCCGTGGCTGAGTGCTGGCACGCACAGCACGCATACAATTCTTTAGTTCACAGCGGTGTACGCCAGCGCGGATGCGGCGAGCAGCAGCGGGGCACACACCCACGCAGAGCTGCTGAGGCTGCCGTCGATCCTGCGAAGACGTGACGGTGCGCGGGTGGTCGTCGTGGTTGGCGCCTCTGTGGTCGTTGTATTCCTAGGTGCCTCGGGCGCAGTGGTGGTCGTAGTGGTCGTAGTTGGCACCCGTGTTGTAGTCGTCGCGGTCCTATGGACAGAATCTTCAGCCTTCTTGGCGTCAGCCGGCTTAGTCTTTGTTGTAGAGGATGGTGGACTTGGGGCGCTTACAACATCTTCAGCCGTCACAGTTGGAGTCACCGTTTTGGCTTCCTTGGAGGTATCTGGAATCACGCCAGAATCTTCAGGCTCCTTACCAGTTTTTCCCTCGGATAGACTCGTGTCACTTTTTGTTCCTTTCGTACTCTTACTATCCTCTTTTTGCAACTTATTACGCGCCTGATCTGATTGCGTTCTCGGACCGGTCGTACCCCCTCCATCAACAACATCATTTCCTTGTTCTTCACCGGGCCCAGGAATTGGCGGATTTGGCTGACCGTTCCCTTGAATTCCCTTTGATGGTCCTAATGAAGGGGGCGATAGACCGGTGGCCTTTCCATCAGCGTCAGCCGACTTTTTAATGTCTTTTGCAGGGGATAATGAAGTGGCGGCGCTTTTATTAACGTCAACTGGAGCTTTATTGACCCCCGTAGAATCTGCCGCAAATGCGGACGGGCAGCAGCACAGGGCAAGCACCAACAGGGCGCACAGCAGACGGCACGTCATCATCATCGTGAGTGTGGTCATTCAGTGGTGTGGAGCTGATCTGCACAGTGAGGGACATGGAGAGCAACAGGGGAGACGAGAGGTGCGGCAGACACACACAGAGGGCAAGCCACATGAGGAGAGGGCAGCAGCCAGGCATGCACCGTACGCCGCACACCACGCACGACACACACTCCAATCCACGGCAACAGGCACACACACACACACAGCCCTGCCGCAGCACCAACACACAGATGGAAGAGGGAGAAGCAAACAGGAGCGGCACACAAGGCTCCACCGCATGCACATACGGCGAGAGCGGTCCGTCGTGCCGCACCCCTCACGGAGGACACGCACACACACAAGAGGAGGTGCAGCGCACACAGCAACACAAAAGCAAAGTAACAATAAAAAAGGAGGAGATCCACGCACACCACGTGGATTGTTGGTCCACGGGAAGCGCAGCCAATATTCATCACAAAGCAAATTGTCATTTTGCTGTTGTTGTATGATGTTGCGATAACGAGTGAGTAGCGCAAAACCCGTCCGTACAAAAGTGGCAAGTATTCCGTCGCAAACGGGCCGTTATGCAGGCTCGAGCAGTCCCAAACAGTCGCAGTCCATATTCCCAGCGACGGAGACATTCCCGCAGTGGATGAGGCAGAGTCTCCCGTGGTCCGTCGGGGATCGGCAGCACGTGGCGTCTGATGAGGCGGTGGCGGAAGCCCCTGGTCCATCTCGAGTACACGCGTTAGTGCTTCCTGCGTGTGTTGCCTGACGGCATGATTGGCGACTTCGGTGGCGACCTGCGCGCGAGGCGCCTGCTAGGAAGACGGTGGCGCCATTTTGGCATCCGCATGTGAGGCCCTCTCAAACTGTCGGAACGCCAGGCCGAGCACGTCGAGCATGTGCCCTCATATTGTGGACGGAAGAATGCGCTCTGCCAAGGATTCGGCAGGAATACGTCAATCCGCCGCTCGCTGGTCAGCAAGGAGTTGCGGTGCTCACGTCGGGAAGAAGTTCCGGCAGAGGCGGGCCGTCATCCTCGGTTAGGAAGGGGCGGCGCCACCGACACAGAAGGTGTTACTTGTGATCTGCATGGCGCGTGCGGGCGCACAGCATTGCTTAGAATAAAAGATTGGCGCCTGTTCCCGTGAAGCCGACAACAACGGACTGTGAGGACAGCATAAGACACTGCGGCTTCTTTTGGTGTTGCACAAAGAATTTATTGGACGGTGCATTTGTTTTCAATCTTTTGCAGCTTTTGTGGGGGAAGGTGGGAAGGTTGAGGGCATTAAAACTGAATTCCTTTG